ATAAATGTTGTGTTTCTTGACTGAGTCTCATTTGTTCTTCTTGAATAAGTAATTGTTTGAGTATATCATGTTGTAATAATTGAAATACTCGTAGTCGTTTTTGGATTGGTAATTGTCACTGATCATTGGAAGTTTCCTCCTGATCGTCTTCATCTTCCTCATCAGCAGCCTCTGATAGTATAATATTTTTCAAATGTGGAACATCGTGGGGCACCGAATGGTTTTTAATTTTAGAGAGTAGTTCCACTAGTAAAACGCGCCCTCGTAAAACAGAATTTTGTAGATGCGCCGGAGACAAATTTTCAAGATTGTCAGTTTGCTCAAATTCAAAAGCAAGGACATTTCTTATTGCTTCTGCTTGTGTTGATGGTAATTTGTTGAAATTGTGCCGCCCACTTGTAAAATGATACATACCACCGCGTAAACATAATACTATGTGAAACATACTCCCGTTTTGGATGTTGTAATCGGAGAGAGTTCGCTCGTCTTCTAATTTTTTACTCGGAAATATTAAACGTTGTAGATCTGAAGGAATACCTTCCATATCTTGAATCAGTTGTTTGACAGTATATATATTCATAGCAGAATTCACTTTAATAGTGATCGTCTTTCCAGTAAGAGTTTTTGCAAAGATATCAAAATTGGAACTGGATTCTGTAGACGCGCTCTATCAAATAACAACAGATTTCTAAATGTGAATGTAAACAAAAATATTAATTTACCTCTTCCAATAGTTTAACCATAATGATAGAATTGTTTTCATATAACTTAGATGACAAGACAGTGTCATTGGAGTTGAGTGTTCCACCTTCGTCCCAGTATGCTGTAATCATTGGAGAATTTTCTTTTAAAATCAACGATTTTAATTGTATATTTTTCAGTTTTGTGAGTTTTTGTATTTGCTTTTTAATCTTTTCTATGTTGTCCGTCAGCAGAACTGGTAGTAATAATGATTGAGGTCTTACATCTTCTCGATATATAATCGATATGTTGACTTCGCCATATGTAACAAATCGATAACCATCATCATGTTCGGATACTGACGATTTCAGTTCATTTTCATTCAATGGTGAAATACCGGTTTCATTGATTTTTCCAAGTTTTGTCCATTTTTGTAAATATTTCGGAACATAATCTTTCTTGTACTTGTTGAATATTGTACTAATGGTTTCATGATCGAAATATTCATTTGTTGTTTGGTTTCCATAAGGATCAACAAATATGAATGAACGTGATTTCAATTTTTGTCGTATTTTTTCATCGGTTTTGCATTGATCATCAATAAATTTGGCTATGGTAATCATTTTTTGTTGAATGGTTTGTACATGAAGTACTAACTCTTGATAAACGAATGAAGTTGGTACTGTAGGAGTTACTGCAGTCAATGCGACTGATGAACTAGGCTCTGGAGGACCTGATGTACTCATGGTAGAACAAATTGTTATCTGAAACTACACAGATAGTAACATATGAATTGCGATGCCAAACTGTTTTATTTTTAGAAAATTGTTTTATTCTCATTGAAGTCAATAGTTGAAATTAGTGAGTGTTACTAACTTTTATTCTGCCAGGTAGATGTAAAATTACGAGCAATGTAAAGGAACAAAGTTCTCTAATGTCTTTAGTGAAGTCATCAGAAAACTAAAATACGCTGATTCTCACTAAATATTACATGACTCATGAAAGTTGCGCCATAAAAAATTGAAATTAGTAATTTTTAATGCTTTGGTTGATTATCGTATTGATTTATTTTTTCGCGAGATAAACATACTTACATTGATCGACGCAACCTATTCGTTGTTATGAAACGTTTAGAAATGAAAAAAAGTCAGCGTGAAGCAACGTTTTATAAATTCTTGCCTATAAATGAATCATTAGAGTCGTACAGAGAAAATAGAAATTGTGTTTTTCTCCGGGTGATAGAAAAATACGCCTTATATACTTTTGCAGGGCGAATATCGACAATCCGTGCTACTATTTTACCACGTGCTATATTTATTCTCAACGTACATCCATTTCTAAAAGAAGTAAGAAATAGAGTCGTCATAATTTCAATTGATGTTGCAATGTTTTCGTATTTATCTATTCGCTATGTGAAAAGAAATGAGAAAAAATTTCGCAATTTCTTTACAATCGTTGCGTGTGTAGTAAATTAAACAACGTGACTCATGGATTTCATATAAAATACATTAATTAGGAATCTTCATTGGAAAAATCCATATTTCGCATCCAGAATTCTCCCGTCGTGCTATCTTTTATCGTATATGGGGTCTTTTCAACTTGCTCTTACACTCAAAGCTGTACCGACAATAATTTGTCGATTTCTCTATGAATACTTCGTTACAAGTAAATGTGCAAATATACACGGCAGGCAGCAGCAGATCTACGCAAAAGCAGAAGCCCTTTATTTTTCATCGAGGACTAAACTATAGCACGAACTGATTCGTTACACAAAACGTCTAGTATATCTTTCCTGTTCTTAGTACCAGGAAAAGATTTTGTATTAAACATGTATTATTCATTGTAGTTTCAATGATGTTTTGAGGGCGCAAAAAGGCAAGTTCCGTGGAATACTTGTGTTAACAAAGTTATAAATCGATTTGATTCCAAAATCACTGAATAAAAAATGCATATATTGCCAAATGAAGTAATTGAAATCATGAAAAATCAGTAACGAAATAGTTGAGAGAGTAAATATTGAAATTTGCATGACGAGAAATATTGTTTCACTGATTTGCAACTTCAGTTTATTTTAATCAATTCAAAAATCCCAACTAAACGATTTCTCAGGCCTGCGTCGAATTGATTTTAAACAGCTTAATTGCCTGAATTTCATTATCAAAAACACAGGTGCACGAGAATGTTGCGATTATATTTTAGCAATACAACAGATTATTCTGTAAAACATGATCCAAATGAGCAAATTTTCATCAATAGAGACTTGGGCAGATATCTTTCATGTTCGATACAAGAACCTAAGAGCATTCATAACTCCGTGCTCTATTTGGTTCAACATTGCTTCATTGCACTAACGTACCATTGAGTAAATTGAACACAGATAAACCTGTTTCTCGAAAAGACAGAAGCGAAGGATCATCCTCTAATCAGCTTAAGTAATTGTGTATATGAGTACGAATATTTCATTCACATCGCATCTGATCTAAAATTATCCCTTCTTTCTACGCCTCACGAATACCGTTCGGCCTTATTATTCGAAAAAATAACTTATGGCAAAGTGATTAATTTTTTCGGATCTACTTTGTAAGCAAAAAGTAAAACTAATTAATCCAGCTTTCAAAATACAAAACCTGAATGAAACTTCTTTCGAAACAATGAATTATATCATTGTGATACCGAAAAGAATTAGATACATCAATTTTCCGACTGCAGTAGGGGTGGACCATTTTTTTAGCGGAACTTAATGCATCACATTAATTACTGTTAATGGCCCACCCCTACCTTAAACTATATTCAATTTCATGGTGTGTCGTATCTTCACCTAGGAATGTCTTGATTAAATCAGTTTGTAAATCAGCGATGATATCCATCTAATCAATGTCTTTTCGATCTTCAATGCTTGCTAATAATTGTTGTGTTGGTTGACTAACTCTCATTTTTTCTTCTTGAATAAGTAATTGCTTGAGTACATAATGTTGTAAGAATTGAAATACTTGTAGTTGTTGTTGGAGTGAGGATTGTCATTAATCATCGAGAAAATCATAACTATCTTCATCTTCATCATCAGAAACATTTGGCAATATCATATTTTTAAAATTTGGAACATCGTGGGGCGCCGAATAGTGTTTAATTTCAGAGGGTAATTCTAAGAGTAAGGCTTGTGATCGTAAAACGGAATTTTGTAGATCAGGCAGTGCCAAATTTTCAAAATGATCAATATGCTCAAATTTGAATACAAGAACGTTTCTTATTGCTTCAGCTTGTGCGGATGGTAATTCATCGAAATTATGTCGCCCACTTGTAAAATGAAACATACCACCGCGCAAACGTAATACTAAGTGAAGCGTACTTTCCTTTTGGATCTTATAGTGTGAGAGAGTTCGCTCGTCTTCTAGTTGACTTCCAGCAAATATTAAACGTTGCTGATCTGGAGGAATACCATCTTGATCTTGAATCAGTTGTTTGACAGTAGATATATCCATGGAAGAATTCACTTCAATCGTGATCGTCTTTCCAGTAAGAGTTTTTGCAAAGATATCAAAATTGGAACTGGATTCTGTAGACGCGCTCTATCAAATAGCAACAGATTTCTAAATGTGAAATTAAACAAAAGTATTAATTTACCTCTTCCAATAGTTTAACCATAATGATACAATTGTTTTCATACAATTTAGATGACAAGACAGTGACATTAGAGTTGAGTGTTTTACCTTCATTCCAGGATGCTGTAATCATTGGACAATTTTCTTTTAAAAGCAGCGATTTTAATTGCATAGTTTTCAGTTTTGTAAGTTCCTGGATTTGTTTTTTAATCTTTGCTAAGTTGTCTGTCAGTAAAACTGGTAGTAATAATGCTTGAGGTCGTACGTCTTCTCGATATATAATGGATATGTTGACTTCGCCACATGTAACAAATCGATAACCATCATCATGTTCGGATACTGACGATTTCAGTTCATTTTCATTCAATGGTGAAATACCGGTTTCATTGATTTTTCCAAGTTTTATCCATTTTTGTAAATATTTCGGAACATAATTTTTTTTGTACTTGCTAAATATTGTATTCATCATTTCATGATCTAAATACTTATGCGTTGTTTGGTTTCCATAAGGATCAACAAATATGAATGAACGTGATTTCAATTTTTGTCGTATTTTTTCATCGGTTTTGCATTGATCATCAATATATTTCGCTACTTCAATCGTTTGTTGTTGAATGACTTGTACATGCAAGACTAGGTCTTTATAAACGAAGGAAGTTAGTTTTGCAGTGTTATTAACAACCGATGATGTTTCTGGTTTGGTTGCATTAGCTACGGAATTACCCATCTTTGGACCAGAGAGTTTCTGAAAGTAAACAGTGAGTTTGCACTAGATAAATTCCGTTTTCAAATTGGTTTCAACAGATTTTTGTGAGCTGTTGTTGCTAGGTAGAATTATGAGCAGGTTTTTTCCGCAAGAAAAATTCTAAAACCTCAGATTTTTTTAATATGCAGGATCGCTAAGATGTTATTCTTTTGAAAGCTTCATAGTTTTTTAGAATGAGAGAATTTATTCCAAAGCAGTTCTACACACTTTCAAACCCGCTCGGAGTTGCTCTACATCAATTCGGAAGACTTTTAAGAGCTTTCGAAACCACCTGTCTTATATTCAGGTTAATGTGGAAAAATTTTGACGGTAAAAACACTACAGGTGCAGTTTGCGATGACGCATTGGAAGTTCAAGTGACTTCTCTTTTTTTTATCTTAATGATAACAGTAGTAGTGTCAAAAATTCGTCAATACAAATGGCTCACCTTGTATAACGAATTGAAAGTATAAATTCTCAAAAGCATGTTAAACGCAGAGCAAGTGGCGAAAATCTAATAGGAAATGAGATTGGTCAATAATTACCTTCAAAGTTGTTGAGAAAGATTTTGTGACAACTCTGGGCAATTGACAAGTTATTTGTCGAACGGATTCTTTCTCTGCCTATGAAAAAAATGTTCTCACTTGTTATCAGAAGTCGCACACGAATGAAAGAAAATAAGCAACAACAACTCTTATATACTTTTCATCGGTATTTTTTTTAAGTGGAAAATAGTTGGATCTTGTCATTTACTGATAATAAAATGCGTCATAATGATTCATTGATGTCATCTACAAAAATCAGAAGTGTTGGGAAAAGATTATAAGAACTTTATCTCAAGACTTTCAACACTCCCATATTGAAAACGTATGATCGTATACGACGGAAAACGGCAGTCAGAAACGACCGACGTATTCAATGAAATACAAGCTTAAGCGACTGTTGTTTACGAATCATTGAAACGGTAGTAGTAAACGATGACTGTATACGGTCATAAATTCGTTACCTACTTCTATGAATTTGTAAGATTTTACTAATACTCCTATTTCAGAACACTAAAGCGTTAAGTACAATCAAATGTTAATTAAGTAACTTGAAATATAGTTTTTTGTTTAGATGTGTTTTCCGCACAGAGTTTAGTAGTAAATTCGAATCATGTTTTAGAGAGATTTTCTAGGTTCCTTATTATTGAATTATTCTCATCTATGAGAAATTGACTTCGATTGAAAATATTTTTCGTTGGATAATTTTTTATCGCAAAGTTTAGCTGAATGAATTAGGCGTTCGATTAAAATATTAAAAAAAAACAATATTAGCGATCAAAGTTAATTTCTCATAGGTTAGAATAATTCAATGCTAATGAACCTAAGAACGTTCTCTAAAATATGATTTGAATTTACCACTAAATTCTGTAAGGAAAAAGTTCGGATGTGAAGAACACGTAGAAACTGGTAAGTAACACGAGAAATAATGTCGTAACGCTCGACCTGGGCTTATATGTTAGATTTTCATAGACCCGATCACCAATTAGATTCTATACTACCACCACAATTATATGACTGATATTGCCATCTTTTGGCCGTACAGCTATCTCTGTTTGAATCTTTATTTTTCAGAAGAAAAACTAAATAAATACCGCAGTGTTTTTCTTCCAACTCTTATGCGTCGTTTAACACAGGACAACATAAAGCGGCTCATTCAATATTAAACGGAACAACTTGCATTCATCATTGAAAAGAGATATGCTGCCATCTCAGATGAATAAAACTTGGCATCATTGCTTTAATTTTTTAGTACCCATAATAAGACTATCTCAATGTAAACATCAATACCAATCACGATGAACAAACCGAAAGTACAATCGAACGACTTGCTTCAAAATATTTGCTATAAGGAAGCTACACCAGTTCTGCCCGTAAATAGCAGAGCCACATTGTTCTGCATATTGACGCCCTATCACTGCTAGTCTCACGTGGCCATAGCGGGGGGAAATTCTTGTTCTGTTCATAAAATACAGTAGGTTGTTTTCATCTAGTTTTCGTATAAATTTAATTTAAAAAACTTGAAAATCTCAGCTAAATCAATTGTAGAATGATAAAATCGATGAGTTCATTGTTGATAGTTAACACTAAACAAATGAAAAATAGCATTTCTTCTGATAGGTATTCCTATGTTCGAATAGAATCTCAATAAGAAAAAAACAATGTTTTGTAAAATATAATTTAATTGATAGCTGACAGATACTTATGAAGGTCATGTCACACACCACAATGCTATATCAAGCGTTTTTGTCCTAGTATTTGAACAAGAATAATCAACAAATATGTTCCAGAACACGATAGACTGACAAAATCTCTCTAGAAGATAAAAATGGTAATTGTGTAACTGTATTTCATATTTCAATTCCATCCAAATTAGGATCCCGAATTTGTTTTATTCGAGATCTGTGAAAAACGATTCATGGATATGGTTTAATATCGGAGCAACGTTTACTAGATAAATTTTAATTGGAATAAGTCCATTTTCTAGGTTTCTGGAATATGTATATTAATTCGTAACTGCCGTTACTGATGAAAAAATAATTATTAAAATAAACGCAGAGATGCATCAGTATTTTTTATCAATCAGATAACACAACATGAATGCAACTCTACTTACAACCATTCCACAAAAGGAAAACGCTATGTTTAAATGTATTTCAAGTGAATTTTATTAATCTCAATTTAAAAACATAAAACATAAAATAAAAACTGCACTGGAAATAATGAATTATATCATTGTGATACTGAAAACACTTACATACATCAATTTTCCGTCTG